GAAAAATTAACAGCCGCAGAAAATCCTCCGCCTTCAATGTATTTATTCAAGGCAAAGATAACGGTCGGTTGAAGTTTCAAGTGTCTCTAACATGATGTGGTGCCTTGATTCACAGGCAAACATCAGTCGACTCCACTCAGCTGCTGTTACTACGGTGAGGCTTTGCAGAAGGACACTTTGGTCCTGATGTGGAATAAAAAACAAAACAAAAGCACAAAATATATATGTGAATTTTAAGCCAGTTAATTGATTTTCTGAGATATTAATTGTGTATCGTTTAACTTTATGATAATATTTTCACAAACCTTACACGATTGAATACCTGTAAAAAGACAATTGTACTTCTTCCCATCACAGATTACACAGTAGTCAATCCCAGCAGACATATCCCACTAACATCTATGGCTCATTTAGGCTAGGTTTACACTACAAAAATGGTCAAAATTTATACCATATATTTTTTTAACATAAAATAGAAAAATCAGACCTGAGCCATTTTCAAAAGTTGAATATGCACCCGGTGTGCTTCAAAGGTCCGGGTCGCCACAGCAGCTCACATTTCCTCCGACTATTACTTCATTGAGGTCAGCAAGTCACAATTGTTGGCCAGAGCGGGGGCGGGGGCCTAGCAAATACAATGTCAATAAAACAGTTGAGGAAGCTAGACAGGATGTACAAACAACAATGTCAACGTTTCACTCAGTCCCCGGACATGAAGTGGCAACATGGAGGCTGGCTTCGGTGCTTCGGGGTACGAAGGCTGGAGAGTGGTCTTTGACAGCAGACTCTTAGATTGATGGCAAACAATCAAACTGACTGACGTTGATTGCTCAACAACTTCCAAATTGAACAGCACACAAACATGGGTAGAGTCCATCTCTACTCACGTAAACACTCAATGTGACGTCTTTAGTCTGACGGCCGTCACATGAGTTATAATATGAACAACCAAGAAAAAAATTGATCAACAAGACCTGAGATTCAAAGATGGTTTTGTAGTGTCTGATAACCTTCATTCCTGATCTGCATGTCTGTGGAGTGTAGGAGGAGGAAGAAGAGAAGACATACAGATAAAGTCCAGAAAGAAAGGCCGTCATTTACTGCGGGGCTCAACCTGCTAATCCTCCAGCTAAAAGGCGAAAACACACTGACACAAATGTCCTTTCAGGATTAAAACATCCTCAGTGACTACCGACGTCTGCTGCAAGGGTCTCCAGAGACAGGAAGTGTCTATTAGGACCTTGTCTTTTCCTGTAGTCTCCACCACCCCTGTCCCCTTCTTGTTTCATTCAGACTTTAAGACAGTAGCTGATGACAGAGAGAGCAGAGCCAGCCAGGGTAGACACTCACTGTTTCTAAAGTGGCGGATCACACATTATAAATAGAACATTTTGGTGCTAGGGTCATTTTGTTAGGCAATTAACAAATACGTTTCATTCATCTGTAAGGATCAGGCATGAGAAGCTGTTGTTATTCTGATTCATTATACACAGTAAGACGAAGGGATGGGCTGCGATTAGATCTCACTCCTTTTCAAATGTCTGATGTATTTCCAAGTCTTATGTTCAAATGTTTTACGGTTTTCATATTAAAATAAACGCTTTAATCGATCAATCCACTAAAATGATGTCCCTATCGTGACATCAAGACAAAGACATTATGTTGTATTGACTGCTCATCGATACATACAGTGGAACAAAGTGACAGCAAACGTTGCATATTTTGGAAATTCAGTCCAACCTATATTTAACCACTTTTTCATGTCAGTGCTGGTCAACAGCCATCAGTTTGTCCTTCGTTTCACAGCTGCTCGTTCACTATAGCACAAACTCTTCCAGATGCTTGGCCATATAAAAAAGCTAGTCAAATATACAGAATATATTTTGGAAGATCTCAGAATATACTATGATACGAACGAGTGTGTGAAGTCAAATTTGTTGTAATAATAATCATATTGTTGAATTATTTTTCCCTCAGAATCCTTTAAGCTTAGCTGGAAAACATTTCATGTACTTATATAAACCAAAGAAGGGAGCTGTGAGTTTTCCAAGCTCATGTAGAAAAGTAGGCATTAGTCAGCAGCCCATTTGACGCTGACATTGACACATACCTGAGGGTGAACGCTGTACAGTGAAGGCAGCATATGAATCACTCTGACAATTGCCTTAATGTCAAGCTCAACATTTACTGCCGTGAAAAGACTAAGCGTAGAAAGCTTTTGACATTTGTGACACTCTATGTCACATGTTGGACACGTTTCCCCGTGAGTGGCTCAGTACAACCTGTGTGTGCAGATGTGTGCCATTACAGCAGAGTAGGAGTGTGGTTTTGAAAGCTCACGAAATGCCACACAGTCACATATTCCTCGGAGGTCAAATAGTTTGTTTGTTGTTGCAGCGAGGCTGCTGGGAGAAGGATGATCCGTCTGCACAGAGGAGTGTCATTGCATAAAGGTCACTGGTGGTTGATTCATCTGGAAGTTTAGAGGTGTGGAGGTGTCTCAGTCGGGGGAGCAGAGAAGGTTTTGGAGTGCAGCTGGTGAAGCGCTGACGCTGTCTGCTGCTCCAACCTGTTGACAACATTGTGTCATTATTAGCGTAACGCTGATCAGATTTGATCATTGTGACAGTTTTGTGTCTCAAAATCTTGAAGATTTCATCCACGATACAGCTGACAGGCATCAGATCTTATATATGTCCAACATTAGCATAATTATCTGTGAGAAACGTTATAATTTTTTCACCAATATGCTGGACTCACTTGTTGGGTCCTGAGACGCTTACCACAGTTTGGGGAAAAACGGCTACATCTATCGCTAACGCTTACCACAGTTTGGGGAAAAACGGTTACATCTATCGCTATGATATCGGAATCATAAATTAAGTGTTTGGACAATATCAGCATTTCATATTTTGGCAAAAAGTTAATATCGGACATCCCTATTTTAAATGGATATTGATCAAATGTAGAGTGGAAATTATCAATAAGTTGTTGTTGTTGTTGTTGTTGCTTATTTTTGAAGCTTATATTTCTAAGAAGTATCATACGAATAAAAGAAAAAACCGTCATCATCATCAACGGACACAAAATGGCATCGTCTACATTGTGACAACTCAACGGTGCTACTGCACCAATTACAATTGACACATTTAAACCTTCTACAATGACTTCTATAAAGAGCCTGAATAGAAAATGTACCAAAAAGAGAAAGGCACACTGCAGAAAATGAAACTGCAGATGATAAAGTATGCAGCCAAAAATGTTAGTCTGGAAATCACAAGGACAGACTAACTGGAACTGAAGCTGAAGAAAGTGCAAATCAGACTCTCGTGTTAGCATAGGTGATGTACGCTAACACAGTAAGTGTTAGTGTAAGGGGGACATATGGTTTATGACAGAATAGCAGCAAAGTTGAAAAGGGAGGTTTGAAAGACGGCAGTGAGACCTGCTATGGTTTAGAGACAATGGCTCGGTCTGAAAGACAGAAGGCTGAACTGGGGGTGGCAGAAATGAGGATGCTGAGATTTAACCTGGGAGTGACCAGGAGGTTCAGGATTAGAAATGAGCAGAGAAGAGGGACAGTTGAGGTTTCAAAAAAGAATTAGACAGAGAAGAGAAAAAAAGGGACAGGAAACAAGGAAGAAACAAAAACAAAACAGAGGTAAAATCTCATATGTAAAAGTCAGCAAAGTCAGAAAGAAAGTTAAACATTTTTCAACATTCAGTGAAATAAATTCTGTTTTACAAACCTTAATCTGATTTGAATGTCCCACCATCTTGGCAGTATCTTTCAGGTTGTGGTCACATTGAAGGTTAAACTGCTGCACCTGCCATCGCAGGTCAGGTGTATACTGTATTTTACAAATCCTTCTTTATACCCTGCTCTCACCTGTGCCAGAGAGTGTTCTTTTTATTCGCCTGTCTTGGTTTTTGCTGACTTGCCGTGGGAGTTAGGGGTATTTATATACCAAGGTGTTTGCCTTCCTGACTTACGTCCAATTAATGTAATTTGGCTCAAGCGAATAGAGGAGCAGGATGTACAGTAAAAAGAACAGGATTTCTGCAGATATTTTTTAAGTTTAGGCTAAAATATGACTGTGTCTTTAGATCTTCAGCTCTTCTGTTGCTGAAAGGACAGGAGGCCATAAAGTCTGTTTTAAAACTCCTATATTTCACCACGTGTACAATGAATGAAACTGTCATGAATAATTTAAGATCATTTCGACAATTCTCAGATTTTGCTTGTCCACTTGACAGAGATAATAACTTATCTTCAAGGTCTAGCTGACCAATCAGAGGACAGATAAACCACAACTGAAAATTCATTTGTTATTTTCAGCCGCTAGAGGGCACTCTAGGCTTATGTACCAATATTTCCTACTCCTTTACCACTAAAAATGTACACTGACAGTCGCTAGAGGGCACTGGTGCGACTTTTACGCCGCAGAGACTTGTATTTTTTTTTTTTCTCTTCTTCGTTATGCATTTTTTGGCTGGTGCGACTTGTACTCCAGAGCGACTTATAGTCCAGAATATACGGTGTGTTTTCAGGGACTTAAGCATTTGGGGCTTTATATTGTTTATATTTTTTCAGCTATATTTTTGGGGGCAAGAAGAAAAATGACTGCGACAGACATCAGGGTGGTAGAAAAAGCCTGAAGCAGTCGGAGAAATCCAATACAGACGTCAGCAGCTCTGATACAGACCTGCAGGAAGACGCCACACTGAACAAATTCTATGCAAAGGCAACTGAATTACAGCCTCTCAGCTGTGCATGTGCATGTGTGTGTGTCTGTGTGTGTGTGTGCGTGCAGCTGTTTGACCTGCAGCTCTTTATACAGCACATCCACGAGACAAACAGACAGACTGCAGAGAAGAAACGGAAAGTCTTGTAACCTGTTAGCAATGTTTTTATAAAGCCCCACCCTCCCACACCCTGTGCACTGTTATTGGCCGAGCGCCACACACCCACACCCACCCGCTGCAGCCCAGAGATGTCCTAAACACAGTAAAATAAGACAGAATGGTCTCTGTGGTGAAATACAGGGATTAGGAAAACATTATTCTTAGTCCTCCGATTCTTTTTATCGTCGTATTTCTACGTCTACTGGGGAGAGACGGCTCACACCCGGGGCTTTGTCTTCACCTAACTGTGATGGATTAGTTGGATAAGCAGGAATTCTGAAGGTTTTTTTTACTCACCAGAGCATATGAAAGACTTGTCAACAAGGGATGCGTCTGATTTGCATCATTAATGATGACGGATCTTTTAGGGAGTGCAGTTTGGCCAAGACCACGTAGACTCTTTACCATTCGGCTAATGAAACATAACTGGTTTTACCAAAGTGCCTCACTTGAAAGGTTTAGTAAGCTTGAACAAGAACAGCAACATTTGACAACAACATTTGAGTCTCAGGAGGTTTTTATGAAGTAAAGAGAGGGTGTGAGGTGAACAAGAGTCGCTCGCACATTTCTCGTTTTCACACGAGACAAAGTCAGTCGTATTGTTGAAGATTTGCGGCTTTTTCGCACAACAGCTGTCTCTGTCCAATCATATGTACTGTATGTATGCACACGTATTCTTTTTCTGTTCCTTTATTCCTTAAGGAATTTCCTTATGGACACGTTTTGGCTTTGAACTAATTTTACAGTAAATGAACTAACTGAACTCTTAGTTAGTTGAACTTTTTTTTTTTATTTGTCAACAAAACGTTTGTGTTACTTTGAGAGGAATGTGCTGCTCCTTTTGCAGTAATAGAGGTTAATGCCACTGATAAGGTAGTTATCTTTTTTGTATTGATTTATTGTATGGTCATATTCATTTTATAATTATTTTATGCTAACTTAATAATTGACTTGTGTGTGATTCCCCGAGATTCCCCTATGCACAATCTTAATAATTGACTTGTGTGTGATTCCCAGAGATTCCCACCCCTCTGTGATCTGGGACTCAATTGTGCATAGGCTTAAAATGGAATATAATTAGTATGTAACAGCAAGTTATATTCAAACGGTAGTGAAAAAAAAATTCTTCAGATGTGGCAGCAGGCAACATAACGACAGTCTGTGTTTGCAGTGTAACCGCATGTTGAAAAGGTTTGTCTAAGTGGTCTTGTTCTCGGGGGACGTGCAAATTGGCAGCAAACTAAGTAAAACTGGTCGTTAAATAATTCATCAGAAGACCCTGTCTGTTACATTAAGTCCCTCTCAGATTCTATGTCTGATCTGTGTCTCCCCACAGAGAACATGCATGGACCCATCTAAAGATTTATAATGACGCTGACTGACGGCCCTGTCTGAGCTCAGCTGCGCCATCACTGGAGCCTGTGGATGACGAGGGGGTGGTGTATCTGCTCGCAGACGCTGAGACCATGGTGAAAGCTCAGCACAGCCAGCCTGCAAAACGTGGGAGACCGCGCAAGGATAAGGAAAGCAAGGAAAAGGGAGGCGGGGTGAAGAAGATAAAGGAGAAAAAGAAAGAGCTGAAAGAGAAGGAGAAGATAATTAGGAAGGAGTCGCACCATCGTAGAATGAAAACTCTGGTCGTAGGAGATGGAGACGCACTGGACTGCTGCGTCCTGCTCACGAGGTTGGAGGAGAAAGGGGTTTTTGTGGTCAAAGGTGAGGAATGCAAACAAGAGAAGAGTGTTAAAGACAAAAAGAAGCTTCACTCAAACTTTGTTAAAGAGAGGACCAAATCTGGACTCGAGAAAACGGCCAATCAGCAAGCACTGGAACCAAAAATCAACCAATCAGACGCCTTACTCACGCTTTCTACACCTGTTCTTGAGCCTCGCAGGCGGAGAATGGCTTCTCTTAATGCGGAGGCTGTCAACAGCCTGCTGCTGTACCGAGAATGTTCTGCACCAACAAACCTCACGAGGAAACAACCTTTCTCTGAGGAAACTCCTGAAGAAATTCTCAGCAAAACTGAACAGAGAACCAAAAAGTCGGTTCCTGAAGAAAAACCTAAAAAACAGAAGAAGTCTTCAGTGGAAGCTCTTAACATTGACTGGCTGACTTTGTTAGCGCCAACACCCCGGCGTCAGGCAGGTCTCACTGCTGCAACACTCCTAAAACTCACCAGTGCTCCTTATGGAACCAAACGACAGAAGAAGTCAGAGCCCAAGTCGGGGAGCGGCGGTGACGCAGCAGCAACAACGACTCAGGACGAAACAAGCAGCAAATCTTTGTGTGAAGAAAAAACACAGACCAAAAGAACAATGCGCCCCAAACACAAGGAGCAACTAAAGCACAGACAACAGGGTACTGAGGGTCCGGTCCATCCCCAGCCGGGGTCAAACATCCAGGGATGCTGTAGTCAATGTAAGTTGGAGAGTTTGGACCCTGAGTGGATGGACACCACGGGGGGACAGGAGTGTCTCAGACCTGCTCTCCATTGTGGCTCTGCTCTGGGATTCCCCCTGAAAACCATCAAGGAGGAGCAGGTGGAGACTAAGGTGACCTCCTCCTGTTACTGCTGCACCCAGGAGCGGTGTCTCCAGTACTGTCACAGACTAGCCCTCTTCCTGGAAGACAAGCCCTACAAGGAAACGGAGGACGGCTCGTTGCCCGACATGTTTCACCACCATCACCACCACCACCATCATCACCACCACCATCTCAAGTCACCTCACTCTGTAGCACACCCAACCACCATCACCATCAGTCCGCACACCTACACCTGTTTCCCCAGCTACTACGTCCACTTCACCCATCCAGATGCCTCCCCCTCACCCATGTCACCACGTGCTTTGTGCCAAAAGGGTGGCAAAAGACCCAAACTTCTCCCCAGCACAAGCCCCCAGCCCTCAGGGATAAGCCATCCAGTCTACTGCTGCACCTCAGTGGAGGCATGCTACGGAGAACCCTGCAGGATCAATAGCTACTCCACATATACTAATGTGATTCCAGCCATCACCAGAGGAGGGTGCTCTTTCAGCCCAACAGACTGCAATTTTACACACAGCATCAAAAGAGGTAAATTTTCTTTTTTGAACAGCGACAGAAAGATATTATTGTTGAAAAGTCATTAGTGCAAGGAAAGGTACCATTCAACGGCTTGCTCTTATTAGAGTAGCTCAACCAATCAGCTGTTTATTCACTTATTTTACTTACTTCACTTACTCAAATTGTCAAGGATGTAAGCTAACTGCTAAGCTAACAAAGCAACGTTAAACCTAGTTAGTGTAGCTATAACTAGACTTAGTACAATATCAAAAACATTTATTGTCATAGACTTAGTACAATATCAAAAACATTTTTGATAACATTTTTTGTTTATTTTTCATTTTCATATTTTTCATTTGTTTTGAAAAAAAATAAGATTAGTCTTTTTTTTTTTTTACTACTCACTTATATGCGGTGTGGTTGCACAGCTCACTGTCCTTACTCTAACCATGGTCTTTTTATAAGTTACTGTTAAACATTCTTAATACAGAAAGCAGAGCTGCTGTTACAATCATGTTAGCAGGCTAATTGTTTACTGTAGTGTTTGGGTTATTGGTTAATTTTAGGTTACAAATCTGTATTTTAATTAGTCATTTACAGCAGCATCCGTGAACTTACTTCTCAGCTGTTTAAAACCTTCCCTCCAGAGCTGCAAAAAGTTAAACAGCTGTTCTCAACGGTAGTTCTTCCCATAATGAGTCACTAGAATAAGGCAGCAGGACGTTCTAATAAGCACTTCGTGTTAATAATAACTCCACAATGGGTTCAAGACTACTCTGTGTTTAGCCCGTGGCTGCTCCAGCAGTACAGTGTGCAGCGAACAGCTATTATGTTGAGAAATAATTTACAATTATTTTAATGTAACTTGTTATTTTAGTGAAACACACACAAAAAAACACTGGACAAAGTGCAGGACCGCCTTTGTCTCTGTGTGAATGCAGGCCAACATACGTGGCCAGTGTGGCTGAAAATTAATGAGCTCGGCTGAATGTAGTGCATGTGTTATGAGATGTGAACCAGAACAGGAAAAATGCAGTTAGAAGGTGTGTTTGTACGTGTGTGTGTTTTCTATGACCTTAGCCTTTAAAATCTCAATTCATTAGCGCTGGACAACACTGACAGAAAGAAAAACAAATCTGAATCTTTAAGACATCGTATCAAAAACCACTACATTTTCTAACGCTTTAACATCTGTAACTTTTATTTATACTTTGGTATTTTCTGCTACTGTCACTTTTTTTATTATTAATGTAAAAAAAGGCTGTTAGCCCTGATAGCTGCTGCTGAGCCATGTCTTAGCTTAGTGCTAACTCGTTTTTTTTTTTGGTGATGCTAACTGCTAACTTGAAAAGTCTACATCCTGGAGGCTTTTTTATGAAATAATAAGGTTAAAGTTTTGACCAGTCACTGCTATAAATGGCAGAGAATCAGTAAACCTGTCTGTAAACTTTAAATGAAGACTGTATACACGGAATATACAGGATGTAGCTGTCGATAGCTGTTAGTTCAGTCCTGGAACAAGTGTTAGGCAGGAGGAGATTGTTTTCCTCAGAGCTCTATTAGCTGACTGCAGAGTGTGTTAAATGTTAGATATTTTATAGAATCAATATCAGTCTTCTGCAGTTTCACAAGTTGAGTTAGCACTGCTTCAACTGCTGGCTGAAATATAGTGATTTTTTTTTAGAGAATGGAATGGTCAAGGATTGCGTTCTACACTGACCAACCAAAAATAACCACTTTCAGGCAGACTAATATTAAACCTGTCTGTGTATGTGTGTACAACTCTTTAAATGTTAATAAGATGTTTCTATATCTAGTAGTAGCTGTTAGTGATGTCCTGGAAAAAGTCTGTAGCTATGAGAAAATGGCTACTTCCTCATAAGTTAAACACCAGTAATGCTTTTGTGGCCACAAACATAAACAGAATATATGTTTTGTAATTTATATATTGAATTAGATTTATAGACAAATAGCAGTTCAACCCCCCCCCCCGATGAAGAAAAAGACAGCAAAGAGGTTCACGTCGCCCGGATTTGCGTCACCGGGGCCCCACTCTGGAGCCAGGCCCGGGGTTGGGGCTCGCAGGCGAGCGCCTGGTGGCCGGGTCCTTGCTCACGGGACTCGGCCGGGCTCAGCCCGAACAAGCGACGTGAGTCCGCTTTCCAGTGGGCCCACCACCCGCAGGAAGGCCCACAAGGGGCCGGTGCCTTGTGATTTGGGTGGCGGTTGTGGGCGGAGACCACGACGGCCCAATCCCTGGACAACCACTCTAGCTATGGGGACATGGAATGTCACCTCGCTGGGGGGAAAGGAGCCTGAGCTCGTGCAGGAGGTTGAGAGATACCGACTAGATATAGTCGGGCTCACCTCCACACACAGCTTGGACTCTGGGACCCAACTCCTTGAGAGAGGCTGGACCCTTTTCTACTCTGGAGTTGCCCGCGGTGAGAGACGGCGTGCTGGCGTAGGCTTACTTATAGCCCCCCAGCTTGCCAGTCGTGTGTTGGAGTTCTCCCCACTGAGGGAGAGGGTCGCTTCCCTGCGCCTTCGGGTCAGGGACAGGTGCCTCACTGTAGTTTCGGCCTACGGGCCGAACAGCAGTGCAGAATACCCGGCCTTCTTGCTGACACTGAGAGGAGTACTGGACAGTGCTCCTCCCGGGGATTCCATCGTCCTGTTGGGGGACTTCAACGCCCACGTGGGCAACGACAGTGACACCTGGAGGGGCGTGATTGGGAAGAACGGCCTCCCCGATCTAAATCCGAGTGGTGTTTTGTTATTGGACTTCTGTGCTAGTCACAGTTTGTCCATAACAAACACCATGTTCAAGCATAAAGGTGTCCACCAGTGCACTTGGCACCAGGACACCCTAGGCCGGAGGTCAATGATCGACTTTGTAGTCGTGTCATCTGACATCCGGCCGTATGTATTGGACACTCGGGTGAAGAGAGGGGCTGAGCTCTCAACTGATCACCACCTGGTGGTGAGTTGGCTCCGCTTACGAGGGGCAAAGCTGGATAGACCTGGCAGACCCAAACGTATCGTGAGGGTCTGTTGGGAACGTCTGGCAGAATCCCCGGTGAGGGGGGCCTTCAACTCCCACCTCCGGGAGAGTTTTGAACAGGTCCCGAGGGAGGCTGGAGACATTGAGTCTGAGTGGACTATGTTCTCCACTTCCATTGTTGATGCGGCTGTCCGAAGCTGCGGACGTAAGGTCTCCGGTGCCTGTCGTGGCGGCAATCCCCGAACCCGGTGGTGGACACCGGAAGTAAGGGAAGTAGTCAACCTCAAGAAGGAGTCCTATCGAGCCTGGTTGGTTCGTAGGACTCCTGAAGCAGCCGAAAAGTACAGGCAGGCCAAGCGGACTGCAGCTCGGGCAGTCGCGGAAGCAAAAACTCGAGTCGGGGAAAAGTTCGGGGAGGCCATGGAGGAGGACTATCGGTCGGCCTCGAAGAAATTCTGGCAAACCATCCGGCGCCTCAGGAAAGGGAAGCAGTTTCCCACCAC